GAATATGGTCTAGTCGGAGCGTGTCAATCTTGTGACTAAGCTCTTCATCGCATCGGCGTGCATTACAACGCTCGTTTCATTTTCTTTGCCGATTCTTAAATGCAGCTTTCCTGGATCACGGCACTTCTGATTACCGTCTCCGAGTATCGATGTGGCCTTTGAAGACTATAAAATGTCTGCGAACAGAGTCATTCGTTTCCTCAACAGAGTATTTTTCATAACGTTCGTTGGATTTGTAAAGCGAGTTTACGTGATCGAAGGGTACAATTGGACCAAATTAGCAAGTTACGCAGAAAGTTACCAATTCTTGACAACTTGAAATTGAGCATTGACTGTATTTTATTTCTCGTTTTTGTTTTACAATTCTTTTCAATGGCTTTGATAGCGAGTGATATAATTAATACTAGAATTATTAAAAATTCAATTACGAGAAATAGGAAAAAGTTTATGAAATAAAGTATGGAAGCTTTCATTTCTGTATTTTACGGTAGATCATTTATATGTAAATCTAGAAAATATTTACGAAAAATTACAAATTGATTACTTTTGTGAATTTTTAGTATTTGAGTTTCCCATAGCTTTTGTGGATTTGTGTAGCAATTTCGGTTTCAGTTTCATTCAAAGTCAAGCCTAAAACGAAACTATAGTCTGGTAGTTGTAATAATTATATAATGTAAAAGTTGATGTAAAAGTTTTTGCAAAATAAAGATACTATACTCGTTATTTTAAGAGTTGGTAAGTTTCTATATAATTTCCAATCCAATTGTATTAATTTAAAATCCAATTGTACTATTGGTTGTAAGAAGGATCGCATTGTCTCTTGCTTAAAATAATGCAAAATAATGATGAAATAATGTTCTAATCAGGAAACAATATTGTTCTTTAAAATCGATAAAAAGATTCTAGCCTCTAGAGAAAAGTCTACTATATTATCTAGAAGATTTCATTCTTCTGATTTATTATAATTGAAAAACAATTGAACATTTTATATGTAATCTTATTGCGTTCAGGTTGATATAAATTTAGAAGAATAAGAGTCAATTGATTATTATTGATTTATATTTGGTGAAACACCGTCAATCTTCAAAAAAAAGCACGCAGACTCTAATTAAGAATTTTGCTCAATAAATTTTACGCATTTCTTCGGCCATCGAGAAACGAATTAAATTAAACATTTCACTCAAAAAGATTTTAATGTTCCTCTTGCATCCAACGGTACGACTGTTTGTAATATTACGCTTTTCTTACGCTTGTCACAAAGGTGAAGCAAAAGATTGGATTACTCACGTTTGGTGATGCTCGAGGATAGTCTGAGTCTTCTATTACATCATGAGATGTTTCTCGACCTTCTAGCTGTCGTGGCCTCCGTGGTAAGGAACCGTAATGTAGAAGCTTCCTATCTGGAAAAAATTTCACCGTAGCATGATATACACTGCGATATGATTCGATTTGTCAAACGTCTGTCATAGGTGTAGCTGAGCGTGCTTTTCTTTTTCTCATTCGACATGTCTGTCTTAATTCTCGTCCGTCATTTTTTCCAACTCCGACTCGTTCCCTTGCTGTCAAATTGACAAAATGAAGAAAACATTGAGCCTCTTAAAGGCTGTCGAAAAGAAACACCTTTTTTTTTTTATTTCATTATTTTAATATACAAGTATTTATCAATTTCTGTGAAACCACCATTTCTGTTTATGCGTAATAACAATTCACACACGTAGAATTTTTTGAAGTTAAAGGAAATTAGTGTGAAAATATAAATATAAAAGTTAAGTGATAAACGCTAATATTAGCGCTTTTAATAAAGCAATAAATAAATAAGTTGAAATTAATTTCTATTCAATCACTGTATAAGTTTTACATTAATTATGTTCGATTTCATGTCGATCTTATTTCCTTCAGTTTAATGTTTCTTTGTTTTGTTTAATTGTATGATGTTTTGAATTCTTCTAATTACAATATCCGAGCTCCTTCTTACGAATACACATATACAAAATTATAGGATATTTACGCGTATCTTCGAAAAGATAGTATATTGGATACACAATTGTCGTACATTAATTTTATTACCTGTCAAGGGAATTTTCTTCTGTAACAAACGTTATCTATAACGCTGACTGCACATTAAATATATTAAAAATATATGCCCTATATTTGGAAAATAAATATATTACAGAGTTAACATTTTACGTGCAGTAGAATAGTAAAACTTTTTTTTGTAAGAGAAAATGTGTTAAGTTGAGAAAGGACGGACGAGAGTTAAACGTAAGATCATTCAATCGTTTATCAGCAAGATCGAAATGATAGCCACGTCGTGTCAATTGTTCACGCACGAGGTATATTTCACACGAAGGTATTCTTAAACGAAATCAAACATTCGATTTCTGAATGATGCATCTACGTCGAACAGATCGATACAACGTAACTCGCGAGCAATTTCCTTGAAAGTATCGTTAACCACGGTCGTGGTTTAGGACGAGACTCGATATATTTGCGATTCTCCCCTTAAACGGAGTACTTTCATCAGTCTGAGTAGAGAAATTTGCCAGATGAGATGGTGGGTTATTCCTCGACGATGTCATTGAACGTGAATGAAGAAAATAAAAAAAAAAAAAAAAGAAAAAAAATAAGAAAAACGATATATATGTATATATATAT